TTCACACCCTGCTGCCCCATGGAGGTAAGGCAGGGAGGGGAGAGTGGTGCATCAGAACCCTCTCCTGGAGGGTTGGTAGCACCCAGGTGGGCAACCTGAGCCCCTGCTACCCGCATGGAGACATATCGAGCTGTGGCCGAGGCAGCAGGAGCAAAATGGGGCTGCAGCCTCGTTGGTGGCCTTGTGCCTGGGAAGGGGGTGGGATGCCATGGTGGTGGGCTGTGGCACTGCAGCCTGTCTTCTGGCTGATTTTTGCTCCCAACCACATATGGACCTAACCAGATCTCTGGGCGTATCTTTCAGTGAAGGCTGGCACTCCAGGCGTGCGCTCATGCCTGTAAAGCCCTGCATACGTAGCGCCCATCTCTGCCACCGACCCGGGGCTCTCTGTGCCTCCCTGCCAGTCTCCTCAGCTCCTCTTCCTCCATCACCCTCTGCAATCTTCTGTAACGTGGCCAAGTCAAATTTTTTCCCCCTTCAGTTTTGTCTGTTATCAACACTGGTTTTCGTCACAGTTTTCTCCTCTAGTCCCTTTTTCCTGGCAAACTGGTGGATGGTGGCAGCAGGACACAGCAGCGGGCAGAGCGGTGCAATGGGCTGTGCTCCTTCACCACTGGCTGGAGTGGCCTTCAAGGAGGGGACAGGAAAAGCTCCCTGGGAAGGCAAGCTCTGGGACATGAGCCATGTCAAATCCTTTCAGCGTTCAGCCCTTTTATCCTTATCTAGAAGGTGCCACTTGGTAGCTGAAGTAGCCCCCAAACAGCTTTATTCCCATGAGCACGGCCAGCTCACTCAAAAGCGAGTGAGCCAGCTCAGCTCACGTTAAAGTATGGTCAGCCCAAAAAAATAGGCGAGGCCACAACTCAGCCAGCTCGTCCTTCTAGCCGTGGGGACAGAGAGCCGCGGGGACGTGCAGGTGTCCTGCTCACTGAAACAGGAGGACGCTGGTCCTTTCCAGTGACAGGAAGGAGGCAGGGTGGTGCAAAAGAGACATGCACTTTTCTGCCTGTCTCCTCCCTGTCCAGCCTCATGTATGTGCTGTGCTGGGGCTCAGACCATGTAGGAACATCTAGGCTCCGGCCCTGCAAATAAAGATATTTCTAGCCCAAATGATTGCAGAGGAAAGTTCAGGCATTCAGCTAACATATGTGAGAACAGTCGAGGGACTTTGCAGGACTGGGGGTTTGGGGGGAATAACTGATTCTACTGTGGGGCTGGCAGGAAGGGTCAGCCCTGGCAGGGTCTGAGCCCTGCATGCTGGCACGGAGAGAGGTCAAGCACTGCCTCATGCACACAAGAGCACCTGCATGCAAAGGAATGACCCCTGCACAGATGCACACCTGCAGCTCTCAACCCCTAGACAGACACACAGGAGTGAGCCCTTGTGTGCACACACACACGCGCAAAGTCCCTTAGAAACATGTGCACTCAGATACCCACTTTCTTTACTGAGTTCTTGTACCCACATGCATGCAATTCCTTATAGACTGACATGCAATCTCTTGCACACATGTGCACACACACCCACAAACACACATACTTAAGTGCAAATGTGCAATGCACTACATACACAGATGTGCAATGTGCTGTAGACCCATGCAGATGTGAGCACTCATGCAATGTCCTGGCACATGCACACATTTTCATGCCCTACATACCCACACACACACGTGCATGTAAATGTGCATGCAGTACCCTGCACACCCACTCATTCACTCACATGTGGATACACATACATATGCAATGCCCTGAGCAAATACATATACATGTGCATGTACATGTCTGCACTATGCCTTAAACACACACATGTGCACACGTGTACAATTCCCTGTACACACATACATGCACATACACACATCTATGTGCAATGTCCTGTGCAAATGTACATGTGTGGATATGCACACGTGCACTGCCTTTTACATGCATGTGAACACACACGTGCACGTGCAATGTACTTGCAGATGTGTACATGCAACATGCATGCCATGCCCTCCACACGCAGGTGCATGTGCACACATGCATATGCAATGTCCTGTGTGAGTAGACACACTCGTTTGCATGCACATGCCCATGCAATGCCCTGTGCATGCTCACACAGACACACGCATGTGAAATACCCTGTGCAAACATACAGACACGTTTGTGCATGTGCGTGCAACACGCACGCACACACGTAAACGTGCATGTGCAGCGCTCTGCAGCCTTACACGCGCGCGCATGCACGCGCCATGCCCCGTACGCTAGCAGGC